AAATAAAAGATCTTCTACTCAGCATTTATGCATTTAAAATTACTACAGCTTGCTAGTTTTTAGTAAATTTTATTACAGTACCTCTGGTAGTGCCCTTAGTGGTACTCTTGGTAGTGCCTCTAGTAGTGCCATTGGTGATGCTTTTAGTAATAGCAGTGCCTTTAGTAATGCCTTTGATGATAGTAGCATCTTTGATAGTGCTCTTGATAGTAGTAGTAGTGGCTTTGGTGATGTTCTTGGTAGTATCACACTTGGTAGTGATGGTGCCTCTAGTGGTGCTCTTGGCAGTAATAATACTCTTAGTAGTAGTAGTGCTCTTGATAGTAGTAGTGCCACTCTTTATAGCACTTGTAGTAGTAGTATTTTTTGCTATACTTTTTTTACAATTATAAAAAACATTTTTAAAATATTATAATAAAAAAAGACTAGTCTTGTTAGATAAAAAATTATGTATCTTAACATTATAAAGATATTTTGAGTTTTACAATATATATTTTTAAAAGTAAAATCATAATTTATTATAATATATATCTATTTTATTATATTGTCTACTATTGCATTTAAGAAAGTATTAGCTCTAATTTTGCTATGTGTATTTTCTATATAATATTTATTTAAACTTGATAAATGGTTTTGCAATGCATTTAAAAAAAAATGTTCTGTATTCATCTAATAAAATAAATTCAACAAAAATACAAAAAGAGTCTTATTGTAGTTCTTTTATTTTCAGTACAAAAAGAATGTCCAAATTTGAAAAACTGATTCTACAGTTTATTAAACTAGTCTAACTAAAACAAAATTGCATATACATTAAGTGTTGTTAGAACTAAGTTATAAACAAGTTAAAGGCAGTTTAATACTTGATATCTTTGTATGTTTGACTAAATTTTTTAATAACACTATCTTTAATTTTAACCAATCCATTTTGTGAAAGTTCTAACATAAGATTTATTTACCAAGACCAGAGTTTTTTTGCAAACTTATTATCTTTTCCAAAAACAAATAAAACATCTTCTTAAAAAATGAATAATGCATTAATATGACTTGCTCTTTACTGTTTAATAATAGGTAAAGGGGGCAAGAAATAACTTGAGCTTTTGTACTAATTCATGTTGTAAATCTAAAATTGTTTGCATATATAATGCTTTTTGAATAAATATCTAACTAGGCCAGTTAGCAATTACTAATACTACTTGTCTTTCTAAATGTTATGTTTTATTATTTAACAATAAAATAACTTTTAAAATATTAATATAATTCTGTACTGAGTGCAATCTCTGTTCTTTGAACCCAACTAGTTGAAGCCCTTTCATTAACTTCACCTTTTTTTATTTAATTAGATTATTATCATAATAGTGTATTATTAAATTTTCAATTAGATCAAACTCACTAACACTTAAATAATCTTATAATATTTGATAGTCTGAATATGATAAATCAAACATTCTCTTATATTTGTAAAGCAAATATTAACAAATTCTATATGCTTTGACTTTTTCTGCATTATAAACTAATATATTATTAAAAATAAGTAAAGAGATGAATATTCTATAACAGGTTTTGCAACAAAGATTGCAAAATGCTTTGCTGTCAAAGTTGAAAACTGTATCTGGTCTATAGTTTTTATGTATAATATGATAATCATTCATATTGTAAACATGAACTATATTTTTCTAATTAAAAAATAAATAAAATAAAATAAAATAAAAACATAATTAGGTTTAATATACATTTATTTAATAATATTCAATAACATATAGTTATGTTTTGTTTTTTTTTAGTATTAAGGTGACCTCTTTGGTCTTTTGACTTTTATTAATTACTTATTGGTATTGTGGTTCAATGAA